TTTATATTTTTGTATGTTAAAGGGGACTTACAGGATGCCGGGGGTCGGGCTAATGTTAAGCTAAGATTGCCTCTTGCCCCCAGCAAAGTGTCCTCACCCAGGAAACTGAGCTCCGAGAGGAAGGTCCGTCTGTCTGTCTCAGGAACTGGTCACTGGGCTGTAGGCAGTAAGGACATTTATCTTCCTTTGCCTTAGTTTCCCACATCAGCAGCGATTTCCGGCGTGCTAATTTGGCCCCTGGCAGAGCCTGGCTCAAGTGGTGCTTAGTAAATACCCGTGGTGCGACCACCCTTCGGTGGCCTCCTTTGCGCACACATGTGGGTGTCTCGCAGGCCCGGTTTGGGGCACCTTGGCCTGGGCTCACGAGTGTGTCTGGGATAAGGTACCGTACACACTAATTACGAGCCCGGTGCCCGGTGCCCCGTGCCCATAGTCACAACCAGCCACCAAGAAACACTACCATATTGCAACAGTGCCTAGAAATCTGTAGAATGTTCCTGATTTGGAGCCCAGGAGAAAAGCACGCCCCGGCCTGCCAGGCTCTACTCGGGCCCAGAAGAGGCCACCCAGGTCTCCTAGTTCCCCTGCCCGCAAATCCAGCATCGCACTGGCTGCCCACTGCCCCCCAGCTGCCCCGGACCCCCTGGAAGAAAGGGGCCAGGGGGGCGGGTGGGTAAAAACTCTGCCTTGCCCGCCACGGGAGCGCCCCAGCACCACAGTCCAGGCGCGGACGGGGTCTCCCAGGCTGCCTGTAGTCCCCGAGTCCCCTGCAGCGGCTGCAGTGGCTGAAAAAGCAAATCCACGGGGTGCCGCCCGACGTCACTCACCGCTTTTCCCTCCACAGTCACCCTAACTGACCTTGAAGCTAGTTGCTCTGGGAAAAAGCCACGGCCCTGCTGCCCCGTTCCTCCCCAAGGTTCCTGTTAGTGGGAAAACCTGCCCCGGGTCACGGCGGAGAGGCTGGAAGAAGAGAGAACGCCGGTCCCCAGGGCCCTATTTCCTCGGTGCTGGGGGGCCCTTCTGTCCCTGGGCCGGGGGCTGCCTGTGGTGTCACCGGGACGTTGAGACGCACTCTCCCTCCCGCAGATCTGATCGTCATTGCCTTCTGGGTGAGCCTGGCATTCTTCGTCATGCTTCTCTTCCTCATCCTGCTCTACATGTCCTGGTCAGGGGCCTCGCACGTGAGGTGAGTGGGGGAAGGGGGTGCACACTCAGGTAAGTCACGTGTCTCAACGTTGAGCAGCGCGCGTCCACGCAGTCGGACAGTATTCGGCCACGAAAAGGAACGAATCGCTGAATCCTGCCGCAACACGGATGGACCGGAGTCACCGCGCTGAGTGGAAGAAGCTAGACACAAAAGGGCCTGTATCGTGTGACCAATTCCATCGCTAGGAAACATCTAGAATAAATAAACCTCGAGAGACAGAAAGCCCATTAGTGGTTGCTAACGGGGCCTGGGCTTCTTTTTCGGATGACAAAAATATTCTAAAGCCGACTGATGGTTGTACAACCCTGTGGATATATCAGAGATTTTCAGTTCTACGTTCTAGATGGGTGAACTCTGCCGTATATATCTCGATGAAGCTGGGCTCGATTTTTCTCCAAAAATAGAGCCTAAATGACCCCACATGCCAGTTAGGTCTTGCCAAACAACTCCCCAGGAAAATGGGACCCAAACGTAGGCATCTGTGACCACCATGTGCTATTGAATACCTACTGTATGCCTTAGTGGTTAAATTCGGGAAAATCCAGGAGCTCCAAGAAGTAACGAGCTAGTAATTAACTAACCTGGCTCGTTATACATTTTTAAAATGTTTGTTTATATTTGAAGAGGGGAAAGGGCAGAGAGAGAGGGGGAGACAGAGGATCTGAAGCCAGCTCTGCACCGACAGCAGTGAGTCCACTGTGGGGCTCCAACTCACGAGCGGTGAGATCATAACCCGAGCTGAAGTCAGTTGCCCAAGGCACTGAGCCACCCAGGTGCCTCTAGCGCATTGGATGTTAATTCCTGTGCCAGGCAACTGGCTCACCACACCCGATTTCCTCTTCTGGCTTAATCTGCCCCCCAACAGCTACTGCTGTCTTAATGACCATCCTAACAAGGGACCCTATGAAAAGGGGCCACCTGTCTCTGCCTTAGCTGATGGGATCAGGGCTGTGGCCAAACTCCCCTGAAACGTATGGCCCGGCAGAGGAGCTGGGGCTAGGTGGCAGAATGGTCCCAGACGAGGACTGGGGCCGGACACCATCGTGGGCCGAGCAGCCGTGCGGAGTGGAGACCGTGGCCCAGCAGAGGACGCCGGCAGCTGGGGGACGAGCAGCGCTGTTTGGAGAGGAAGGGATGGGAGCGGAAGCCCCTGAAAGATGGGAGGGCAGCCCCGCTACCTGGTGGCACCCCGCTCCCATCTGCGCAGGCCCAGACCCACCCCGAGGGGGCGCAGCGTCCCTGCCTCCACTCTGCCCTGCCCAGGGTGACTCACCACGTCACTTCCGGTTCCCTTTGGTCACGTGGGGAGGCAGGAGCCTGCTTCTGAGCAAATGAAGACTTCCATCCTTTTCTTCTAGTTTTTATAACTCTCATTAAATTCAGGCAGATTTACAGCCCCGAGAGGTACCTGGGGGGAAATGAACGAAACCAGCTTTCTGAGGAGGCTGGTGGCCAGCCCTGTGGGACAGGTTGCGCGCAAAAGCTCCCCCACCCAGGGGCACGCAGGTGGCGGTGGCCGTGGCCGTGGCTGAGAGCCCGTGCGTGTCTTCGGCGCTACAGCCAGACAGGGCAGATGGACGAGGCCGTCCCCGACGCCAGAGAGAGCAGCCTCCTGCTCTGTAACAGGCAGACCCCGGGTCTTCGGTGAGATTTGGGAGACGGCTGCTGAGGCGCTCCCCGAGGAGACGCTCTTTCCCCAAGTCCGTAGTATCCTGGGAAGGGAGGGCCCGGCTCCACCACGCCCCCTGCCTGGGCCTCGGCACTCAGTTAGGCTTGTTTTCTAGCCGCGCATCGCCTCATGTCATCCCGATGACTCCGAGGAGGTGGTCACGGGCCGAGGTCACGGATGAAACGGAAGGCAGGCAGGACGCGGCGGGCCAGCTCAGGCCAGGCGGCCGTGCCCGCTGCCCCTGGCACCTCACGCTCAGGAAGGGCATCGGGAAAGCAGATTCCCGGCTGAGATCTAGGTCGGCTGGAGGCAGATACCTGAGCTACACACTCAGACCTGTGGACGGAAGGCCAACCTTCCCACCCCTCACCCCCCCCACCTCCTGTCATGAATGGACACATGAAGGGGAAGTGAGCTCGGAGGGAGCTAGTGATCAACGTGGGGTCTAGGTCACCACTAAGCACGGCCTGGATCTTCCATTTCTGCACAAGGGTGACCTCTATGAGCTGGGCTGACTCTCCCCCAGGGTCTGCTCCCTGGGCAGAGATGCCCCTGCCCCCAGCGCCTTCTCTATGGGCTTTGGGCAGGCAGGAGGGTATAATGAGAAAGCATCCAGTAAGTTCTCTCACCGGCTTTGATGCCTGCCTCCCATCCGCTCTGTCTACAGGAACAACGCCCAGCACCGCCCAGCACGCCCCTGGGGCCATGGCTTTAAGCTCCCGCTCTGCATCCGGAGGCGGCCTGCAAGCTGCCCCGAGTGTGGGCACCGAGCCACACAGCACAGCATCCCACCCTGAGTGGCGGCAGCGGCCGGAGCCCCTCCATCCTGCCCCGCAACCCACCACCCTGCTCTCTTCCGGAACCAGGCTTCGAAGGGGACCCCCACAGCAGCAGCCGAAACAGGAACAAGCATGGGGGACCTCTCCCTGAAGATGGAACTCTCAGTTGTAGCACTGACACCGGTGGACTGGTGAGCTCAGACCAGGCTGGACATGCATGTGCCTTCAGAAAGCCTGCTCACATGTAGCAGGGGGGGTGACGGGGTCACAGAGGCGCTGACATGCATCATGTGAGGCTGGCACTAGCCCATCCAGCACAGGGAAGCAGCCCAGAAACTGCTGAGTTTTAGCACCTTTAACCTGCATACTTTGGTAAGGGGAGAAAAATAAAACATACGTGAATTAAAAAAACCCATTTGCTTGCTAATCTTCATTGGGCCACTTTTTAGCTTCAACTACTACTCCTGCAATATCTACCAACCCTGAGTTCCAAGCCGACTGGAACCTTCTTCAGGACACCCGGGAAAGGCCTGGGAAGTTCTTTCCTATCCCCCACCAACACCCACTCTTACCAAGACAGGGCACACACACCTGCCACCGGGTCTCACTCCCAACCTCCCCAAAGCCTTTAAAAGACAGAGCCCAAGGGGAGGGGGTCTGCACCAGAATGTGCAGAGGGGTCCCACCTGGGCGGCTTTCCGTGGCCTCTGGTGTGAGGCCTCCGAAGGAGCCCCACGGCTAGCACCCAGCAGCCCGGCCCTGGCAGGGAGGCAGCACCCGAGTGCGAAGCGCAGATGCCCCAACCCTTGGGCTGACGATCACTTCCCCACACCACGCAGGCTCGGCCCCACCGGACTTGGGGGCGGTGGGTTAGAAAGGGAGAGGAGGGAGGGGGGACTCATGAGCTCCAGAGACATAGGAAAGGGGTGAGAAAGAATACGAGGCTTTTCTAACTTGACTCTAAAAGTCAGATCCTGACATGGGAATGTTCTCGGAAAACACTGTTGCAGGTGTTTTGGAGGGAGGGTCCGCTCCCTGCTTTCGAGACAATGAGCCCACAGGCGGCAAAAGGTCTGGAGGTAGACAGGCGTCATTCGTATCCTGGTTAAAAATCTGAGGTCATTAAAAACAACCAGAAATGAGTCGCAGTCCTCAGGGGTCCGGCATGCGGGAGGGACGTGGGCCACGCAAGCTCCCAGGCCACGCCGTGATCCCACCGGGTTTGCGGCCGCTGCGCCAACCGCTAAGGGAATGTTAAGAATCACATCCAGACCTCTCAGACCTCTTAGACACAGGCTTCTGTGAAATGAAATGACCACTTACCATCAATAAGCAAAACACAAAACCTTAACAAAAATAGACATTTATTAACAAGTTATAAAACCCCAAATCCCCCCTTTGAAACAATGTTTTCCAAAACACAGGCTTTCTTCCCAAGGCAGAGGTCAAATCACTTTTATTCTGTGAGGATTTAGCCGAACATCCTTTTATTTACTAAAATAATCAACACCGGCTCATTCACTCCAAAGGCCTGCAAAGCTGTGTAGGACTCCTGGAAAGGTGGGCGGAGCTTCACTTGTCCGCGCTGATGCGGAATCTGACGCGATCCAGTCTCCGACATCGTAGCTTTAACAAGCTTTAACATCCACAACCCCCTTGGTGTGCAGAGGCGTTACCTCGGCTTGAGGGGTTTTCTGGAAAGAGCATCGAGGCTGAGAGGGTCTTCCCTGTGTGAGCACCGCAGGGCCTGCCCGGGAGCACCCAGGCCCGCGATGGCTCTGACCGCCATGTGGCAGGGTCGCCGGAGCTTATAAGCCAACTTCGCTTGTCAGGAAACCGAGTCCGTACCTACAGAACTTGTCCTTTTACGTGCTTTCCATGGAGATCCTGGACTCAACTGACCTTCTAGAACCAGAAGGCGCCAGACGGCAGGGCATCAAGCCTTGGGGACCGAGGCGGCAATGCCCTTGCAGAGTGTGACGACGGCCTCCTCGTCACCCCTTGGTGCGTCTTCTGTGGCCTCACGGATCATCTGGATGTGGCTGAGGAGGGTGTCGGGCCGCTGAGCGCCCAGCCAGATGTCCTTAATGTACAGAGACACCAGGAACGCAGCGGCGGCTGAGGAAGAGGGGGACGACACGGCCATTAGGACACCAAGCTACCCTGCCGGGACACAAGTCACCCCCGCCACATGCCTGAGGACACGGGAGCTTTGCTCGGTGCCTCAATGGTGCCACGTGCCTCTGGTAATGGGAGGTGAGCACGTGTTCAAATGAATTCTGCTTCAGTTTGGGGTTAATCTTTTTTATTTTCAAAATTCACCTTTTTATTTGATCAACGTGTGTGGAACGTAAAACAAGTTACTACAAGCCCAGTTTCTCCAGGGTTCTGACCACCTGAGCTCAGAACCAGACTTGAGGTCTGAAAAGAGGTTCCAAGGATCACTTTACACTTTTGGTCAAAACACTCCACTCCCTGACAGCGTCCAGAGAAGAAGAGGTCACCCCCTGGAGGAGAGGGGGGGTTTCACCTGCCCCGGCTGCTGGCCCACCCCCTCTCCTGCCCCCTTACACCCCTCCATGAAAGGCACAGCCCTCTGTGATGGAGGAGGCCACATGCATGTGCTCAGCCTCCCTCTCTTCTCTTACGGCCTTTTAATGCCTCTGCTGCTGGTTCACTCGTTCATTCCTGCGCTTAATCCTTCACTAAGCACCTGCCAAATGCCCAGCACAGAAACTCTGTGCATATTTTCATGCTTGTGCACATATACACAAATCTGCACAAATGCACATGTGCACACCACACACGCATCTGTGCCCACTCATCCACCCGCACGTGCTGTGAAGCGTCATCTGCACTGGAGCACCGGCCGACATGAAGGAGAGATGCCGCCCCGCAGCGGTTCCCACGGAACACGCTTCTCCACTGCAAACACACTCTCTCCTCACCGGGCTTTTCCTGGACACCAGAGGCTTCCTCTCCCTTCTCGTTCACGGTCCCATGGCAAACAGGGTTTGGGTTGGGCCCCATCCACTCTTCATCACGAGTGCCCCGGACAGGCTCTAAAAGCCAGGAATGGCTCCAGACCCCAAACCCAGAGGCGCATCCCTTCGGCCTATGACCGGCGACCCAGCCTCACCTCGAGTGGCTCCATCTTGCTCCCTCAGGGACGAGAGGCAGAGGGCCTCGACGGCGGGGCGGAAGGCGCTCCCCGCGGGGCCTGGGGCCGCCAGCCGCAGCAGGGCCGCGTTAAACCCGCAGGCCGCACCCTGTGCGGGGCCCGCCAGCCGCTCGGCGCTGCAGGCCCGGCTGTGCAGCTTGAAGAGGCTCCTCCGCGTGGCGCCGTCCGCGAGCAGCTCCGCCACGACCGCCGGCTGCAGCACGATGTGGCTCTCCAGCCAGCCAAGGAGTCCCGAAGGCTCGGCCCCGCCGGGCGGGCGCTCGGCCACCGAGCGCAGCACCCAGCGGGCCACCAGGGAAGCGGCGGTGGCCGCGAGGCCTGGTGCATCACTCTCGGGGCCGGTGCTGTCCTCCGGGCCCCGGTGTGCCGGCCCCCAGTGGGTCAGTATGGACGTCAGGAGGCCCCTGCACGTCTCCAGGGTGGCTGCCTGCGGCTCGGAGTCAGCTGCCTCCAGCGTCTCCTCGGGCCTCCTCCTCCGGCCCCGCGGGCCCCTGGCTCGGGCGGGCACGGCAGGTTTGCCCTTATCCTTGAGCATCTCTGCGGTACACAGGGAGGAAGGTGGTGAGACTGCTGGTCCCGCCCCCTCACAGCTGGGGGGGGGAGACGGGGGGGGGCTCCTCGGTCCCCAGAGCTCGACCCCCGCTCAGCCCCCACAGGACGTGTTCCTACCCCGGGAACTCCACCCAGGCATGTTGCCCTCACGATAACCCACTTCATCTTCACCGCGGCCAAAGCTGCCCCTCCCCCACCCGGCGGGCACCCCCGTGGCAGGGCCAGACCTCAGGGCTACGAGCACGGGCATGCCCCGCTCTGAAGCCTCGTCAGCTTGGGAGATGCCGCTCAGAGAGCGGAAGCGCTGGGTGCTCTGTGGGGAGCTGAGCAGTCTGGGGAAGGGCAGATAGCTGGGCCCCGTCTGGACACTCACTCAGTAGCTCCCTGACTTGGTATTTCTCAATGGCCGCTCGCAGGTCCTCCTGGAGCTTGGCATCTCTCTCGACGAGGCTCCATTTGTGCAAGAGGACGAGCACATCCTTTGTGGATAGCACTGCCTCGTTCACCGTGAAGCGGTTCATATCCTTGAAAGCTTGTATGACGGCGGCCCGGTACCTCAGCACGGACTCAAGCGCCCCGAAGAAGCTGGTCAGCTGGGCGGAGGCCAAGGTGGGCCTGTTGGGAGCCAACGTCACAGAGTGAGCAAAAGCTGTCTCCTCGGTCAGGACCGGGTTGGCTGGGCAAGGCCACAGACCCAGAGGGTCAAACGGCCCACTTGGGACCGGAGTGTGCCTTTTCAACAGAAATGGAGCACGGAACCAGCCCAACGAACAGGAAAAATCCAGCCACCCGGGAGGCGCAGCGGGGATGGGACTGGAGTCTGACGTCTGTGCTAGAGGAACGGAAATCTCTCACAAACCATGGCTGATGGGGAGAGTGAGGCAGACAGAGTGTGAGCGTCTGGGCACCAGCCGCCTAACACGAGTCTGTAGGCCGGTGACTCCCCACCCGTGGCCCAGCCAGACGATGGGCTCTGGCAGGAAATACACTCTGAACCCCAGGGAATTTAAAACTCGATAGCATCTGCTCCACACGCTTTGAAAATTATTTCAAACTGCAATCAGTCCTCAAAAACCAACCTGTTTTCCGACAACCCCAAAATGAGAAACAGGTCTGTTGGGACTGACTTTACAACTTAATTCAAAAGAACCGAAGACCAAGTGCCTTGTTCTTTATCAAGAAAGTTTTCACTCTGAGGTTATAATCCATTTGTGATCCATCTTCTGGTTCCAGTGAGCACACCTCCGTTCCCAAGTCACAACCATGAGACTGTTTTCTCTAAGACAGCGGACTCTGAGGACGGTTTAGCTCTCTGAGGAAATCAGGAGCGTTATTCTAAGGGGTCATATGAAAAAACTGAAATTTTCAAGAAGATTCTTGGAGAAGTGAGTCTGTGCAGGCTACTGAAGGCAGAAGCAAGTCTGGGAATACGCTTTCTTAAGTTAGGGTGATGGAAAATATGTTCTTTCTACAAACATCTGAGTGCTTGAATCAAAATATCACGGTAGTTGTCTGCCTGCTAAAAATGACCGGGTAGAACAGGTTTTAGGTGTTTACAGGGGTAAGTTCTTGGGGTGTTGAAAGGAGCCTCATAAAGTTGAAGGAGAAAAGCAGAAACAACTAAAAATGGTTTCCTGACATCATCCACACTGACAGCAGCCCTGCGCCTCAGCCCCGTGAAGCTGTGACCCAGGGGACGGCTGGGCGGTGACATCCACAGGCGACACGGTCACGCCTGGCGGGGTAGGGGCTTACCTCAGGTGCTTTGTGAGCACCAGGAGAACATACAGGAACTCGTCGACCAGGTGCAGGGCGAGCAGCTTCGGGGGCTCCCGGGACCCTGGCTTGCAGGGAGGCGGGCCTTCAGACTCCACTCCCTTGTCCCCCAGGTTGGTCACCCACAGCGTGTGCAGCAAGGAGATTATGCTGGACAGCAGCTGGGTCTCCAGAAACCTGAAACCAAATATGGAAGGCTCGCTGTCACGCCCTCTCCTCTCAGCGACCTCGGTTGGAGCAGGGGTGTGTGTGGGGGCTGGGGGGCTGGGGGAGGTGGAATGTGGGGACACATGCCCACAGTGGCAGCCCCCAAAGTCACAGGATCCACGTGAAAATGGAGAGCCTGCCTTCCAGATGCTGTAGCACGGGGCAGGGCCCCAATCCTCCTTCCTGGCAGGTGATCGCTGGAGAGGATGGATGGTTCGGCCCATTTCCGGCCGACACTGAAGCCATCAGTAGACACCGCGGTCTCCGCCCCACCCTCTCCCCACCCGACACCCTGCTCGCACACAAGGCGCTTACTTGCTCTCAAGGATGTGTAAGATCCACGTTAACAGGCTATAGTCCCGCAGAATCTCATAGGCAGACTGGGGGTCCCGGGCAGCGTTCTGCAGAATTTCCAGAATCCAATTCTGAAAACCCAAAACAAAGAATTACTTGTCGGTAGGGAAACCAAACTTACTTGATCAAAGGAACAACTTAGATAATGTAACAGTATGTCGTATCCATGTCCGGGTGCAGGTTGCACGAGAGACTTGCTCTACTGCCTAAGAGTGGTGGCCGTGGCCAGGGGACACAGATGTCCACAGCAGGTGCCGGGCCCTTGGGCTGCCTGCCCCTGCTAACCCATCATCAGGGACAAACCCACAGGCACAAAGGCACGGCTCGGAAAGCACAGGGCCCAGCCTGAGCCAGGGAGGGCCGGTGGACCCATTCTTAGGCCAACAGCTGGCGGCCCATTTTGTCCCTTCAGTTTCAGCATCTGGAAGGGAGGACCTAAGAATGAGGCCGCCCTTGAACGGTGAAGTGGGTGCCCTTGAATTCTCCCTCGTCCTGAGAAAGAACTACCCACATTCCGTTTCTTCCAGCGTGTTTCTTGCTTCTGACTCGCTCCTTTTTACACGTTTTACATTCAGTCAGACACAAAAGCTGACGGGGTTAGAAGTTAATCCAGATCCTGAAAGCTCTACCTACTCCCTTCTTCCAGCCACCCGAGGCACTGAGGACACGGACGCACGCACGCACGTGCATACGCACGCGCGCGCGCGCACACACACACACACACACACGAGCTCTCTGTTGAGGGGAGTTGCTCGCTGGCTGTGCGACAGACAGTTGGCTTCAACTCCTGGCTCCTGTTTCCTGGCTGAGTTTTGAGAAACTACAGCTTCTATGCATTTAGTGAAATTCTGGGGGCTCCAGAGGGTCCTGGCAAAAGCACGTCAGCCATCTATGGGGGTGATTTATTGCTAGACTTTGTAGCCAGCAACACAGGGAACAGCATCAGAGAAGGGCCGCGAGGAACAGCATGTCCCCAGGGGACAGGCGGCAGCGAGTGCCAGCCCTTTCCCTCGTGGGAAGTCAGCTCAATGTCACACGAGTGGGTCGGTCACGTCTAGGCTGGGGTGAGAATTCACACGGATCTGAATTCCAAAGAAAAGTGTGAGAAAAAGCGTGGCCCCTTCCTCCTCAAACAGACGCGGGGCCCGCCTACCTGCGCCTCGTCATCGCACAGGGGGCTGCTGAAGAAGGACAGGAGGATGTGGAAGACCCCTCGCCGGGCGCAGAGCTCGTAGCAGTGTCTGTCTCGCAGCCCCTGCCGCAGGATCCCGAACACCCATTCGCGTTCCGTCCTCTGCTGTAACCCGGGCGAACGGAAACCACTGTTAGGCAAGCGAAGGACGGCTATTCCGACCCCACCAGTTTCGAGCGGTGGCCACAGAAGCAGCCGCGGCAGCAAAAGTTCCTGTTTCTGATCATGTGATTGAAACCCCTCCTCAACATCCGATCCGGTTTCTTCAGACCGGAAGTAAAGGAGACGGTCAAGTTCACGCACCGCACTGTGTCAACTCACACAGGCGTTCCTACAAGAGCACATTTCATATTTAACTTGGTCACTCGCTAAGAAAATATAACGAGAAGGCCACACAACTTGGGCCTCAGAAGTACATCTTTTTAAGGTGTGAGAAGCCACCTACAAATTAACGTGTGGAATGACGAGCATTTCTGCGAGCAAGACTGTGGGATCTGCTGGCTCCTGTAAGGCCCGGGAAGCCATGCAGCCAGCAGTGCCGAGCAAGGGGAGGACCCCGGAAGGACAGGAGGGCCCTTGGGTCCTTGAGAAGCAGTACCTCAAAGTCTGAGCTGAAGAAGAACTGGTAAAAGCCTGGAACCTTGTTCATATTCAAGTACTCGTGTGACAGCAGGAACTTGCTGATCTTCATGTACATGTGCTCCTCTGAGGACAAAGGCGGACAGTGGCTGACGGCAGGCAGCAGCAGGACCCCCCATGCTCTGCCGGGGTTGGGGAGCAGGATCTGGGGGGCATACATCAATCCCTGTTCCCGGGGAGGTTTTGCAGCCTTATCCAGATGAGCAGCTCTCGAGAATCAGGCTGCGATAAGGCACCTTGGTTCCGTGCCGCGTGCGGGCTCTGGCTCGCGGCTCCGGAGGGCTGTCCCTCCCCAGCCAGCAGCCCACCACGCAAGCTCCACCCGGCTGCTATGCCGAGTAGAACCCAGTCACGCAGAGGGCACAGGGCTGACTCCCAGCCCCATCGGCCTCCCACAGAAGGTCACTGTCATGGCACAGGGGGCTCAGACACCCCCTGGGGCACTGGGCTCTGGAAGCAACGAGGCTGATGTGGACAGACGCCTCCTCCGCCTGCGTTTCCTACTCGCGATCACCGCCTCCCACCTGTCGAGACCGCCTGGGGCCCTGGAGCCCGCCCCATGACCACTGCTGCCCATGCCCCTGACCCTGCCACGAGGTCTGAGGTTGCACAGACTACACGGGAGGCCAAGGCCAACCACCGTGGCCTCTGCTAGGATACGGTCTCAGAAGAGTCTCTTCCTTTAGTGTCTACAAATGACTAATCACTCTCTTTCCTCCCGTACTTTCTAAGGAGAAGAAAACCATGTAATAAAAACTATGTAGGTGCAGATAAACGCTAGATCTGAGTTGAAAAGCAAGCTGACCGGAGATGGACTGTGGGGCCCTGGACAAGCTACGTGTCCACGGGCTTCAGGCGGGGGGATGCTTCACCATCTGGACGCGACCGTGTTACGCTCAGACAGCCCTGCTCAGGGGCCCTAGTGGCACCCCCGCTACGTCAGCAGTGGTACCCGCGCTGAGTCGCAGGAGCCGTGCCCTCCTGCCCTGCATCGCGCCTGGGCCACTTTCCGGCTAAGGACCCACGGGCTGCGCGCTTTCACTTCCAAGTACAGATCAGCAGCTGCTGGGGGACAGACTCCCTGTGCCGGGCACCTTGCACGTGCAGGACCCACGTACCCCCACAGCAGCCCCAGGAGCCAGGGGCCATGACATGCCTTTACCACAGCGTCACATGCCTGTGAGTGAATACGAATACATCTCCCATCCTCCATCATGCACACTGCCCTGCGCTGTGTCTTCTCATGGGATTTTTTTTCTGGATTTCACCCCTAGGGGCCCACGAAGGCTTTCTCACAGCCATCCTTTATCCACTGTCTGCTACTGTGGACAGCCATGTGGCTCACGGTTATGAGCGCTGGGTGACCTGGTCACGTCCCTCATCACACATGTGACAGGCTATGCCTGTGGGATTAACGCCAACAGGTGGACGTGCTCGTCCCGACATTTCAACCTCACCCCAACCTGGTCCTGTCTGCGGTACCTGGCTTCAAAATCTGCAGGGCTGCTTTGGCAATGAAGAGAGTCAAGGTAAAGGTGAGTCTCATGTTCTGAGTTCGTATCCCATTCCGGACTACATCCAGCAAGTAAAGTAGCTTAAAACCAGGAAAAAAGAAGAAAGGGGGAGAAAAAAGAAGAATGTTCAGAACAGCTGTGACCAGCCTTGCCTCGTGCCGCTTACATGACAGCTCTGCTCCTTGCACCCCAGAACACACAGAACGGCAGTGTCGTGCTCGCTGCTGCTGCCTCAGGGGGGCCTCCACTGTCCCTTGAGGAGCAGGCAGGTGCGCGCAGGCGGAGAAGCCCGTGACACCCTGACAGTCTGCTCTGTCCTGTTCCCCGCCGCCCTGGGGCACACACTGCCGAGGCTCGGTGTGTCCTGGGTAACAGACAGCTGCCTTGGCCACGGTTCAGACCAAAGAAACGAACTGCTCTGCCCACCTACGCACAAGAAGCCTGTCGAAGGGGAGCGCTTTCTCAGTCTCCCCAGAGTTGAGAACCAGAGGCAACCTCCAGCACCAGCCCCTAACGGGGAATAGACCTCAGTTCTTCATCAGAAGTCTCCCGACACCATGCTTCCAGGTCCCCCAGAGAGCTGTCCCCCTCCACCCCGCTGCGGCGCGGAGCCGCTCTGAGGCCCGCTCACCTGGGGCTGCTCGCGGAACCGCGCCCCCTCCAGGTGCGAGTAGAAGGCCGCCAGGACGCGGTAGGCTGCGGCTCGCATCTGGGGGTCATAGCTGCTGAGGGCTGCGACGGTTAGGCCCAGCGAATTGGAGTCCAAAAATTTTCGACAGTCTACCACAAGTTCTATGGGAAATAAAAAAGAGCATTAAATACACACACGCACGCACACACACGCAATGATCACAATGCTTGTGCAACACAATTAAATTTCCTTTTGCATATTGCTGACACCAGCAACGAGAGCTGGCTGGATACAAGAAACACAGGTCTCTCCAGCCCCCTTAGCTTACCTTCTGCTGACGTGGGAGAAGAGCCTGTCTTCCCTTCCGTGGCAATAAGCTATACCTTCAGCTTCGAGAATGCTTATAAACTCCAATCAGGATTACTTCTCACAAACATTCAACGAGTCAGAGAAGAACGGAGGTGCCATTCAGACCTGAGACATGAGATCCCAGCAGGCTGGGGGCCTGGGGGACACAACCGCGGAGCCAGCGGAGAAAACCAGCTCCCATGTCTCCCTTGTTCAGGCCACAGCGTCTGAGTTCCTTGCTACAAACCGCTAAGGAAAATACCAAAGGCAGGGGAGCTGGGAAATTCAGCCAGTGCAAACCAGTCTGACCTGGCCCATCAATTTTATGAAGGATTAACTTATATCCATTTTGCAACCCTAGTTCTTTCTTTAAGCAAACCACAAGAATCTCACGGAAGAGTGGCTCGCCACACTTGAACAGAAGCTAGAGTCTAAAGAGCTTGCTAGCGGATATCCATCTGCTACCTGGGAGGCCTCGTAAAAACTCATAATCATTTCAGGAAATGATGTGACCAAGAGAGAAGGCCAGATACACAAGAGGACCCCCAGGACCACGACTTAAAGGGCTTGATTAACAATAACAAAATTCAGGACACTTTAAATTCTCTTTAGTAAAGACCCAGGGCTTTTTACAAGATAAATCCTGTCGTAAATCATATGATAAAAAACCACGAAGAACAACCTTAGGAGAGAGATAGGTCACCGTGTTTCAAAATGACGACACAGGGTTTGGGCATGATCATCACCCAAGCAGATGTTCTCAGGCTGAGTGACTGGTGACCTGGTTAAGTTCGGCACCACCACAAACCAAGTGAAACGAATACCCACAAACCAAGTGAAATGTGCAACCTTGTAATATATGACCTATCGATACAAGACACGCTACTAATGATGATTTTATTTATTTATTTATTTATTATTATTTTTTTAAAATATTTTTATTTATTTCTAGGAGAGAGAGAGAGACAGCGTGAGCAGGGGAGGGTCAGAGAGAGAGGGAGTCACAGACTGAAACAGGCTCCAGGCTCCGAGCTGGCAGTCAGCACAGAGCCCGACGCGGGGCTCGAACCCACAAACTGCGAGATCATGACCTGAGCAAAAGTCGGACGCTTAACCGACTAAGCCACCCAGGCGCCCCTACTAATGATGATTTTAAAAAGACGAAACTTTTTTTTCTTCTCCTCCTGAAGTGAGACTTTTCAAAGGGTAAATTTTGGCAATTTAAAATGCTGAGCATAAATAATGAGGAAAAACTGTACTAATCAGCTACGTCTCTGTGCTGTGATGTAAACAGCTGCACAGGCATGTAATGGTCCCCCAACGAGGGGCCGCTCAAAAGCGCCGATATCACTTTAAACCATAAAGTGTCCTTGTCCCTCAGAAGTAGCAGAGCTACACGTAACTTCCACCAGCACCAGCACCCTCTCCCGCGTCGAAGGGTGACCAATGGTGGTGTGGACACTTCTGCACGGTCTCCTTCCTCTTTCTCAACATTTATACCATCTCAAAGCAGAACCAGCATTTCCACTTCCGGCCAGGAGAGTGGCAGAAACCGGATGCCCCCGTCCACCTGAAGCAACTAAAAAACCAGACTGAAGAGATAAAACAAGGGTTTTCAAGACACTGGACATGAGGCGATAAAGGAGAGGAATCTCCCAGAGCGAAAACAAACAGATGAACCTTCCCAATAGTCCCAGTTCGCAGCCTGGAGGTTTCTAGGTGGTGACTGGAGACCTCAGAGTTATGCAGACGGAGCAGGAGGCCTGGGAGGCCACGGAGGCCAGACGTCACAAGGGAGGGTGTCACAGAGAGGGCACCAGGCTCTTTGGCTGAGTGCCACCCAGCAAGAGTGTCTGAGGAAGGCGTCTGAGGAAGTTACCTAAGGCTGAGGTACAGGGGGAGCCCCACGCTCACACCTGCCGGGACACGGCTCCTGTCCCACCAGCCAGGGTGAACCCCTCACAGCTCACAGGGAGAGTGCACACTGCTTGGAAAGGTTTCACTTCAGTCGTGAGGTGAAGTCTGTCTGTCCTGGATTAAACGCTGCTTTGGTCCCATCTAACAGAGATCCAAAGCAAGACCGGAAGGACCAAACCACGTCTAAGCAGCTCAATTATGTCCTAGAACAAAGCTCGAGAACATTCACAGGAATACACAAATATCCAGCACCAGGGCACCTGGGTGGCTCTGTTGGTTAAGCATCCGACTCTTGATTTCAGCTCTGGACAAGATCTCACTCACAGTTTGTGAGTTTGAGCCCCACTTAGGATTGTTTCTCTCCTCTCTCTCTCTTTCTCTCTCTGTGCCTCCCCTGCATATGCGCATGTGCGTGTCTGCTCTCTCTCAAATCAAAAGGTTAAAAAAAATATATATATACCCAGCACCAAACAATGTAAAACACACAGTGTCTGGTTTACACTAAAAAATTATCAGTCTAACAAGCAGGAATATAGCCCATTAGAAAAACCCACCGTTTGAATATGACTCAGGATGAAAATAACAGAACTAGAATCCTACTGTAACTAATATAACTGTATACTACATGCTCAAGAAGCTGGAGGAAACACTGAAAATGTTAACCAAACACATGGAAGCTATAAAAACCCAAACCAAGGTTCCAGAGATGAAAATTAAAATGTCAAAGATGAAAAACACACTGAAGGGGGATTATTAGATTAGACATTACTTAAAAAAAAAAAAAAGATCGGTGAACTCCAGGACAGCAACAGAAATGATCCAACTGAAACACACAGAGAAAAGAAATTTTAACCCGGGAACAGAACATCAGTGAGCTGTGGGACCATTTTCAAGCGGGCTCATATATGTTTAACTGAAGTCCCTAAAAAGTTTCAAGAAAGAACGGCCAAAACGTTTTCATATTTGACAAGAACAATAACCTACAGAGCCAAGCAGCTCACTGAACACCCCCAATGACAAGAAATGTAAAGAAAGTCACACTAAAGCACATTAAATTAAACTGCTTGAAACCAATGATAAAAAAAATCTTCAAAGCAGTCACACAACGTATACAGAACCAAAAGTAGGAACGACAATAGATTTCTTGTTAGAAACAACACAACCCAAAAATCAGGTGGCAACATCTTTCAAGTACAGTAAGGGAAAAAAACCTGTCTGGAATTTTATATCCCATGAAAATCTTTTCAAAGTTAGCCTTTTTCCTATGAAAAAGCTGAAAGAACTGATCAGCAGTCATGAATGACCAGAATTTTTTTCTTTTTTTGAGAGAAAAAGAGAGACTGCACGATTGGGGTAGAAGGAGAGACAGAGAGAATCTTAGGCAGGTCCCATGCTCATCATAGAGCCTGATTCCACAACGTTGGGATCATGAGCTAAGTCAAAATCAAGAGTCGGACACTCAAACCGACCGAGCCATCCAAGTGCCACTCTTTGTTAATTTTATTTATTGTGAGAGAGAACGAAAGAGTACAAGCAGAGGAGGGGCAGAGAGAGAGGGAGAGAGAATCCTAACTGAGAATCCCAATGCAGGGCTCAATCTCACAAACCATGAGATCACTACTGGAGCTGAAATTAAGAAACACCTAATTGACTGAGCCACTCAGGCTTCCCTGAAAGAATTCTTCTTCCTTAAAAAAATTTTTTTTAATGTTTATTTATCTTTGGGAGGGGGGCAGAGAGAGAGGGAGACACATGATCTGAAGCAGGCTCCAGGGTCAGCACAGAGACCTATGTGGGGCTTGAACTTACAAACTGCCAGATCATGACCTGAGCAGAAGTCAAATGCTTAACAGACTGAGCCACCCAGGTGCCCCTGAACTACAAGAATTCTTAAAGGAATTATGTCAGGCAGAAGGAAAATGACAGTGATATGGATCTGAGTCTACACAGAGGAATGAAGAGAACCAGAAATGGCAACTGTAAAATGGTGGATATAAGATATTTATATCTCTTGAAGAGATAACTGACAGTTTGAAACAAAAACAATATATGGTGGGTGTCAGAGCACACAGAAGTGAAATGTCTGGTAGAACAGCATGGAAAACTGGGAGGGGTAGACACAGATTGATACTGATCCGTAGACACGGATATATGGTGGGCTGCTCCCACCACCCACACAGTGGTAGAAAATCTCACTTGAAGGTGAACCACAATAACTAATGGCGAGCACTATACACCCTAAGGCAACACACACCGTGCACCGTAGCTACAAGCTGACAAAGAGAGCATAACAGAATTGGATAAAAAAAAATTACATTAGATGTAAAGGGTGTACACGTTCAAACTAAAAGGCAGAGATGGTCAGATTGGATTTCAAAAAGACAAAACCCAAATCCAAGTGTCAACAGGAAATACCAACATGCAGGTTAAAAGTAAAAGGATGAAAAAAAAAATAATGAGAAGCCTCTTGGGCCCGAACAGGGTACAGACTAAATTTTATCATTTCTAACAAGTGACTAGTTTTGAGAAGGAGGAAAAAAAGCATCCAACTGTGGGATAACATACCGTTTTGGAAAAGATGAGATGTGTTAAGATACACCTACACACCTCCGAAACAAACACACGTAGACGGAATATAGTTGAGACAGAGAACAGTCTGAACATTTAAGATTACACTCACTAGAAACAGCGAGACTCAGCTGGCCAGGGTGTGTCTAGTAATCACCCACATTCTCCAAGACAAATGGATTTTCCACGTGTCCGGGAGGAAAAGTCAATGTCACGTCTGCGGTCATCTGCTGCTCTGACACCCCGGCTTTCTAACACTCGAGGAAAAGAGCTGCCTGGGGCAGAGAGTGTAACAGGCTATTGGGAAACGGTTATAAACGCCACTCTCTTTGTTTCAGGAACCTCGCAGCAGGCAGCAATCTGGCCTTCCCATAACAGATCTTCAGATCAAAATGGCTGAACCAACACGAGTACCAAGAATTAAAACAAAAAGCACCCGTTTTATGGGCTTCAGTGGTGGTAGGACTGTGCTGCCAGGCTCCTCCTGATGCCTCCTCCTCCTCCACTTCCCGGGGGTGGCCTGGCAGGCGAGAGAGGAGTCCAGGGGGCCCGTGTCCCCGTGGCGAGGCTCGGAGAATGGCACACCGGCCTCCCTGATCGGTGGCACACGTGAATTAAGACTGGAGATACCGGCCCAGTTCTGCCGAGGACAAGAATTCGCTGTGGAGAAAGCATCTGTCACTGCCAGTGCGAACAGCCCTGGCGGACCGTTTCTCAGCCAAGGACTCAGGGCAGGGAAGCAGGAAGGTTACGAAAACGGGTTCCGGTTTCAGCAAAAGGCTGAAAGGGACAAGTGAGGCTGTAGTTTCTCTGAAGTCTGGCGGTCACACTTGAAAACTAGTCACATGCCCCATTTAGGATCCTAAGGTCCTGATGAATCTGCTGTTAAATTAGCGACACTTGGACCCGGGTGTCACTGCAGGAAGTAAGAACACTGTTGAGAACTTTTTGTGCTACCGGAGCTGGGACAACAGAACACATATGCATAAAGTTCAAATACAGGGCCTGGGTCCTGCTGGAGGGGGAGGGGTACTGACTAGGGAGAGCCACCCATGATGTTTTGCTCATTGATCCAGCGGGTGATTTCACCAGTACGCCCACCACACATGTAGGATTTGCGGTCGTCTCTCTGTATTACACTTCAATGAAAGTTCATTTAAAACATTCTTGGTGATGGGCGCCTGGGTGGCTCAGTCAGTTAGTTAAGCGTCCGACTTCGGCTCAGGTCATGATCTCGCAGTTCATGGGTTCGAGCCCCGCATCGGGCTCTGTGCTGACAGCTGGGAGCCTGGAGCCTGCTTTGGATTCTGTGTTTCCCTCTCTCTCTGCCCCTCCCCTGCTGGCACTCTGTTTACCTCTCTCTCAAAAATAAACATTAAAAAAACCCCAAAACATTCTTTGTGCTTCTTCACCAAAGCAAAAACAAAAAGAAAAACAGGTGCTAAGAATAATATGAAAAATAGATTCATAATTTAATTCAACAACAATAAACCTAGCCTACATTGGCCATTTGCTGTTCACAGATCTCTGTTCTGTTCAACTTAACCATTTTACTGCTAGAAATCTCTCTACGAACTGGTATGCTTCCTTTTATCAGACACAACATTTATTTAAAGCATTATGCTTCCATTTATTATTATGGACAGTAAGTATTGCCGAGCAAAATTTAATGACCTAGCTTTTCTTGTCTGTTTTCTTCTTTTAATATTTTCATACTTTTATATCTGTATCTACCTCTACACTTTACAAAATTTTCTACTTTACTGCAAATGTTCTTAGTGTAACTGGTATTTCAAGCTACCACAAATCCTTTTTAGGGCAAGCATGTTTTGCGTACCTTCCTACCTGCATTGTGCCAATCAAACTTAAAATAGGCTGTATTTGGAGACTTCCCTGACTTAAAAGCCCATTGACTAATGACCTCTTTTCACAAAGGCCTCCCAGACACTGCCCTTCCGACCCAAAAAGGGCAATCTTCAAGATTCTGAGAAAGGCTCTGTGTCCTATTTTTAGTATTTTTCTATTAGTGTTTTCCAAGCCTCTGCCTTCTGTCTCTTAAAAGCTCTATTAAGAGACCGAGTAACAGACTAAATGATTTGTCATAATCCACTCAAGTTACCTCTTATTTGCAGGCTGTGGAAAATCTATTTTCATGTTTGAGGAGAAACAGACCTCACTGGCGCTGCCAGGGCAGGGGTGGGGGGTGAGGGGAAGGAGGGCTTCTGGGCCGCGCTGGTCCATGGGCCTAGGCTAATCTGCTGCGACGTCGCTGGGGCAGTTAGGCCACCCGCTGGCCATTCCGGTGACGTGACGCTGGCATGAAATGTCCGGCTCTCCAGCGAATGAAATCTAGCTCGGCCACAGAGCACCATGTCCCCAGAGGCCAGGGGACCACAGCAACCCCGGGGGCCCACCAGTGGGAGGTCCCAGAGAAGAACCTGCCCTGTCGTCCTGTTGTTCGGAAAGGGAGCGCCAATCTGTTCATGCGTAGGCGCACTGGAGCGTAAAAAGACAACTTTAGATCTTTTCTCTTTTACTGTTTAGTTTTTCAGAGAGAGAGAGAAAGAGACTGAGTGCAAATGGGGGAGGGGCAGAGAGAGAGGGAGAATGCGAAGCAGGCTCCAGGCTCTGAGCTGTCAGCAGAGCGATGCAGGGCTCGAACCCACAAACCGTGAGACTGTGACCTGAGCTGAAGTCAGATGCTTAACCGACTGAGCCCCCCAGGCGTTCCATAAAAAGACAACCCTGAGTTGAAAAGGGACAGGACAGCAGGAATAAGGTGACGCAGTCTCCGAGTGTACCTAGTCCCTGGGGACGTTAAGTCCAGCAGGAAGGAGGAGCCTGGGGCCCTGCAGGCATCATGCCGGTCGCGCCAAAGAGCAGAGACGCGGAACGTGCACCCCCTCCCGCGCACACGCCTGTCCCGGGCGGCCCTCTGCATAGGCCTGGCTAGAGTCATGACAACCCTCAAAGCAGCAAGCTGGGCCCAGGACCACGTGCAAGGAACAGGTCACACGTGTCCCCGCTCGGAGGAACCCACGGCGAGGGGTCAGGTGGGAAGGAGAGTTTCCCCACACGCCCGTTGGTACCATGTGACTTTCGAACTGTGAATGTAACAGCTAATGGTAAAAATTACTTAAATTAGATGTGTAATTCTGAGAAGACGGAGTTGACAATATTTTCTCTACTTTTACTAGTAAGTACAATTCAAGCAACCTGGACAAATGTTAAGGCGACTCTAAAAGGTAGAAAGGAAGCGGAGCGCCTGGGGGACCTCAGGGCAGTTCCCTACGTTTTCTTTCTGCTTCTGGTGTCCTAGACTTCGACCTGAAGAAGCCAGCAACCCATGAAACCAACAGGCACAGGCAATGCCTGAACAAAAGGCTGCCCTTTCTTAGTCTCTAGACAAAAGACTCAAAAAGGAGCAGCTTAGCAAGATAGAAAACTCCGACAATAAATAACTTGCTCTGCTTCAGCCAAATACCTCAGAGAAAGCCACTCCCACGGGCTCCCACCCACGCCAGTGAAGGCAGAGCACGGAGGCTGGCCTTCAGCCTCCCTGGGTGTGACACAGAGCCCTGGGTCCCCTCCTGGGGTGGCGTCTGTCTGAGAGAGGTGGGGGAGGGCAGTAACCAGAGGCCTCGCCTGGCCCCCACTGGGCATCAGAGGATGCCTTGCGAGGGGAGGCCCAGTGAGGGGCCGGCAGGGGGCGCTCCTGCCCTTCCTGCCCCTCCAGCCAGGACTATCAGTACAGGTGTGGTCCCTAAAAAGGAAAATTGCTAAACTGGACTTGATCAAGATGATAAACTTCGGCTCTGGGAAAGACCTTGTGAAGAGATGAAAAGGTAAGCTACGGACTGGGAGAAAATATTTACCAACCACATATGCAACAGAGAACGAGTTTCTAGAATATATAAAGACCTCTCAAAACTCAACAGTAAAAAAACATCCTATTAGAAAATGGGCAAAAGAGGGGCTCCTGGGTGGCTCAGTTGGTTAAGCGTCATGAACTCATGGTCATGACGTGAACTCATGGTCCATGAGTACGAGCCCTGTGTCAGTCTCTGTGCTGACAGCTCAGACCTTGAATCCTACTTTGGATTCTGTGTCTCCCTCTCTCTCTGTTCCTCCCCTGCTTGTGCTCTGTTTCTCTCTCTCAAAAATTCATAAAGATTTAAAAAATTAAAAAAGAAGAAAGAAAATGGGCAAAAGACATGACCTGACATTTCACTGAAGAGGACATACACATGGCAAGTGAACCACGGACACTGGACATCAGCAGCCGCTAGGAAAATGCACATTACAGCCACGATGGGCTATCACGACATGCCCGTCGCCAACGAAATGCCCCAAACCAACAGACCCGCCTGACCTGGGAATCAGACCCGGGCTCCCCAGCGGGTACGTGTACACATGCCTGCGTTCCATCCCCTGCCTACGCTTGCTCATGAAGACTCCCGCGCTCGGGCCACTAGATACAAATACAATTTCAAAAATATATGTAAGCCAAGGAAAGCCAACCTCAGCAGGCTCTCACTCATCCTCCAGCATAAAATCCGGTGGTCCCTGGATCACCACCCAGTGAGAATTCGGAAAAGCCTCCTGCTACTGAGAGTTAGGAAAAGATTGAGCATGAAAGGATGCTCCCAGATTTTAAAAATTATCAGGTTTTTTTTTTTTTGTTTTTTTTAATCTTCAAATCACTGTATTTAAAACCTTCACTGTTACTTTTCTGAAAAGGTAAGAAGGCAGATGAGGCCCCTCCCGGGATTAGTTATGATCCTCGGTTACGGTAGGAGTGAGTGATCCCCACAAGAAACGCGCTCTGCCGGTTACCTGGCCTGGTGAGTTCACTGAAGAGATGCAGGAGAAAGCAGGGGTCATAAAGGCCATCGAGATCCACTGTGCTCTTGTCCTTAAATATCAGCTCCTGTCCGTCCTGAAACAGCCCGAAACAGACAAACGTGTGTGGTTTGGCCTCATAAACATGGTAACACAGGAATGCTCACCCACCATGTCTAGAGTTCCAGTTATTCTGAATATTCAAAAGCACAAAATAAAATGGTTCCGTCAAAACACAGTGGTTCTGCAGGGAACGGGCATCGCTGGCTCTGCTGCAAGTTAGTCTCTTGGCAGGGAGGGGGGCGGGGGGGGTTATACATCACGGACGCACAGCTGGTGCTGGTAACTGTGGAGGCTGAGGGACAGGTCCGCGGGGGTCCTGTCTTGGTCCCTTTACACACAGTTGGGATTTTACTTAACCCGAGGTTAATAAACCCTAAGAGAAGCAGCGCTGGCACATCACAGCGCATACGGCACGCACAGCTGCCGGGAGCGTTCCCCGCCTCCCACCTCCCCCCACCCCCGCACCTCGGGGGGCAGCAGCCTCCGGCTCTGCGGGAAGTGGACGATGGTCTTCATCATCCGGTCCCGGTCCAGCAGGCGGAGGATGTCCCCGACGCTCGGCTGCTGCCACAGCGACTTGCCCAGGCTCCGGCATGTCTTGTGATGCTCCACGGCCGCCGGGCCCCACAGCAGCACCCTAGGGCGGGGCAGGGGGAGCACACGGGTCACGGGGCCCCGCTGGGACAGAGTCCAGGCTGGCGACAGTGACCCTCATGGGCAGCTTGGTGGAGCAGTTGGCACACACCAGGCACTATCCGGAGAGTGTATCATTTCATTCCCATCATGACATGGGGCGGGGGGAGGGGAGGAGATGCCAGCAATGAAGACGGAGGGTGACAGTGAGGGGGTTACAATGACACCTCTATGGAGCTTATGATGTGCCACTTACTCTAAACCCTTCACAGCCGTTAATCCACTTATCTGTGTGACTACCCCATAAGGTAGGTACTATTGCTACCCCCATTTTGCAAACAGCGGTAGAGGCCCAGAGAGGGTTAAGGAAATTGCACAGCTGGTCAACTGCCCAGATGGTTAGTGGCACAGCTGGAAGGCAAAACTTGGGGGGAGGGGTCTGGCTCCAGAGTCCGTCCTGGGCCAGACCTGCAGCATCGTCCAGCAGAATCCCGGCTGATGACGCTTTGCTGCTTCAGACCCCTTCCTGGTCATGGGCAGCGTGAGCAGAGCGGGTCTGCATGAACGGCCTCGTGGCCGTCCCTGCCATGTAAGCACCTCGACCTTTCATGTCACCAGCACACATTACAGCTGCCCCGAAGAGAGCACCTCGCCTTCCTCCTCCCTTCCTCCCCACTACCTCCTCCCCACCTCCCCGCTGCCAGAGGCTGCTCCCCAAAAGCCTGGCTCAGATGAGGGCCACGTCTCTGTCCCAAAATGTCTATCAGCTCTCGTGCCCTGGATGGAAATATTTCAGTCTGATACTTAAAACCTCACCAACCACCTGCCTGGCTTTCCCACCACCATTTCCCCACACGTGTCCTGTGCTGCACAGAAGCTGAACTGCTCACCAGGCCTAGAAATGTACACCTTTCCTGACTCAGCTGCGGGGACACTGTTCCCGCCACATGGTGTCCACAGGCTCCTCCACCAACCTCACCTCCGTCAACTCCCTCCAGCGCCAACCCTGTCACAAGCATTCCCTGGCGGGCCTTCACCACCAGAGGCCAATCAAAGAGTTACAATTACAATAATCCGATCCCCTCAAGAGACAGCAAGACGGCGTCTTATTCCTCTAGGATCCCCAACAGTGCTGGGCCCAGCACCTGGTAAAACTGCAAGGGCTCAGTGAACATCTTTGAATTCTCAATAAACACTCATTTCTGTGAAGGTCAATAGCAGTCATTCGAGTTAAAAAATAAACAGTCTGGGGCACCTGGGTGGCTCAGTTGGTTGAGTGTCTGACTTTGGCTCAGGTCATTATCTTATGGTTTGTGAATTTGAGCCCCATGTCGGGCCCTGCGCTGATGGCTCAGAGCCTGGAACCTGCTTCGGATTCTGTGTCTCCCTGTCTCTGACCCCCTCCTGCTCACTCTCTGTCTCTCCAAAATGAATAGATATTTTTAAAAAGTTTAAAAAAAGAAAAGCATTCCACCATGGAAGGTATTTTTTTTCTCCTCCCTGCGGAGCTCCCCCCTGAACTGTTTATCTTGGCCCAGCTTCCTCATTTCCTGCCCTAACACACCGAGCTCTTCATGCACGTACTGGGCAGATGCCGGGGAGCCGGCCCACGCGGTAAGGAGGGAAGGTACTGCTGGGGCAGCACAGAGAACCTAACATGCTCTCCACGAACAGCACACTGGACAAAAGTCCCGTCAACCTCATCCTAGGGTAGGGGAGGGCAGGGCCAGTCTCGGCCCTTCAGGCCCAAAGCTGTGCCGACGGAGGACACAGCCCCTGGGGACGCAGGAGTGGACAAAGAGGCAGACAAGGCAGATACAGAATGAGACAAACACACACGGACAGAGACAAGTCCAGAGACAGAGCCCGCACCTGCGTGTGAGAGACACGGGGAGTGTGGGATTAACATCCAGTCGGCCCCTCACCCCTCTCCCCAGCAGCGCCTTGTTAAAGCCACCCCCGTCTGGTGTAACGCATGAGAAAAATCAGCCAAACTAGATACTCCAGCCGGAAGTAAGTCTGGGGGCAGGTCTGTGACCATCAGGAGGGGGCCCCGCCAGCGCAGCCCCGCCACCAGAGGATCCTTAGGGCGCGAGGCCGGGCTTTCATGGACGCCGGTGTGCAAGCTGGGGGGCGGGGGGCCCACCCGTCCTACCCTTTCCCCGGAGAGAAAATCTGGGAGCCTGCCCTGCGGAACGAGCCCCAGGCTTGGGGTGGCCCCTTCAAAGCTTGCTGCTCACCCCTCCAGGCCCAATGCTCACCTGAAGTTCACGAGGCTGAAGTTGTTCTGTTCATATGCCCGGAGAAGAAGCAGAATCTTCTGGTCTAGAAGTCAAATCAAGGTCCACTGAGAAAGCTGAAACCCTCACACGCTCCTTTCACCTGGTCCCCACACACTCCCTGGTCATATGGCCCAGTCCCTTCATTCTGCCTGGTCACACCACTTGCCCTATCCCCTCACACTATGGTCACACTCCCTGGTCCCCTCACACTCTCTGGTCACACTGCCTGGTCTCCTCACAATCCCTGGTCATATGGCCTGGTCCTCACACTCTGGTCACACCACTGGGTCCCCTCACACTCCCTGGCCACTAGTCATATGGCCTGGTCCCCACACACTCCCTGGTTATACCACCAGGTCCCCTCCCACTCCCTGTCACACAGCCAGGTCCCCACACACTCCCTGGTCACACAGCCTGGTCCCCACACACTGCACAAAGCGCCCGGACCCACACGCTCCATGGTCATACCACCCAGTCCCCACACCCTTACCCAGGACACTGAGAGTGGCGCCATAGGCCCCAAGGAGCACTGCGAAGTGACTGCTTTCACAGACGGAGGGACACAGCTTCACCACCACTGACATCAGATCCACTAGTGCTTCTGGAAGAAAACAGCACTGAAATGCACAACAGCACGGGGGGCCGTGCGCATGGAGAAGAGGCGGCGGCATTTCAGGGAACACATCAGTGCTCCGAACGTCCTTCTCGGAGCAACGCTGGTCTTGGGGCTGTGCCTCGGCCATCCTTTTCTTTTTGTAAGATAAACACACACGTGTGCACAACGGCCTCTCCTCCCAGGTCTCTGACAAGCCACCATCGCCCTCTTCATGCTCCGTCCCACCAAAGATTTTAAGACCTAGGCATTTTCCTCCATGGTCACGTTAGCAAACCTCTAACACATCCCGACTCCTCCTGCCCCCCCCCCCCCCCCCCCCCGCCCCACATCGGTAACGCAGGTGGTGGTTTCGGCACGTTGTCTCTAAGCGGAGCGTGGCTTCAAGAGGACAGAGCCCTTCAGACCATCTGCTCTGACCTCTCCCGCAGCCCACACTGAACTCAGGGTCACGGGGTGGGCGCTAAAATCAATGCTGCTGAATTAGGGGCGGAGCTTTAGGCCTTGGGCTTTCAGAGACCTTCTTGGCAGGGAACTATTTACAGGGATGTTTGAACCCTTCACCTTCCACGGAAGTGTCAATCTTCTCATTAAAGCATTTCACACAACCAAACAATTCCTCTCAGGGCAGACACCGCCTAACTTCCCCTAGTTCCCGGATTTTAACACGTGCCTACCATACGGCAGCAAGACCTTAGACACGACTTCTGTGGGGACAGACTGTGAAGAAAGGTCTGTGTTTGCCCTTGGACCTGAAGTCAGAGGAAACACTGCTCGGGCTTGGATTTGACAGAAACAAAATAGCCGAATGCCGCTTTGGCAAAGCTGCCTCAGCTCCAGAAACATACAGGGGCTAAACCCTGGTGCACAGAGAGCACCACGAGATTAGGAAACAAAATCTCTGAGAGATGGGAGGGCGGGGTGAGGGGTCACCTTTTACTTGACTGTCTGAGTTCTCTTCTTCAGACTTCAGGAGCGTTGGCAGAAACAGGGAATGCTGCGTGAGCATCATGTGGACCACCGGGAGCTGGGTGAGCTGCGCGCACATGGAGTTTTCCGGAACATACAGGCGCTGTATGGCGGCATGGAGGGCCTTTAAAAACATGTGGTCCTGATACCGAAACCTAGGAGACAAGAATCCAAGGAGGAAAGAGCTTCACAAAGGGGAGTTTTATTTCACAGGAGACAACAAAAAAATTTTCCCTTGATGTTTTATTAAGGAACATCTCTAGGGGTCCCTGGGTGGCTTAGTCGGTTAAGCATCCAACTTCAGCTCAGGCAATGATCTCACAGTTTGTGGGTTCGAGCCCCACATAGGGCTCTGTGCTGACAGCTCAGGGCCTGAAGCCTGCTTTGCATTCTGTGTCTCCCTCTCTCTCAGCTGCTCTCCTACTCAGTCTCTCAAAAACGAATAAACATTAAAAAGTTTAAAAAAAAGAAACCCATCTCTAACACACCGCAAAGATGAGAAGTCTACAGTGCGTATCCATACCCCCATCTTGATTCTACTGCTGTCGCTGCATTACGCATGCTTTATCACCCGCCCCCAGCCACCCACCCATCACAGGGGGTACTTCTGAATTGCCGGCGGGCGGGTGGGGGGTGGGGATGAGTGCATTTATGTCCCTGACAGTGCAAACACCACATGATGTTTAGTTGAAAAGCCAGGAGACGCAGGAACCGCTGACCATGGATAGAGATGATGCTCGCTGCCCAGCCCACCTTGACAGGTCAGCCTGCCTGTTCCCTTCTTCCAGCTACTCAATCCACCCATCCAGTGGCCTGGAGGCCCTCTCTGATTTAAATCCCTCAGAACCCACTGAAGGAATGAAAGCATGACGCTCTAAAAAAAGCAGCTTTCTGGTCATATGTGAACGATGCTGAGAATCAGCACATAGCGGGCATTCTAGAAAAACAGGTTTACCAAAGACGGAACGAAACGTCAGCATGCTGTGATGGTGATCCAGGTTGTCATTAACCCGTAACCCACCCTCACGTCTTTCTCTCCTCTTGGGTACAGTATTTTTCTCTGTCATCCACGTTGCTGAATAATGAGGGAAATGAAAATTAAAGGCATAACAAAACATTGTTTCATGACGGTCTGGTTGCGAAAACCTAAGGAGTCTGACCCTATCAAGTGCTAGTGAGGATGTGAGGCCACACCGCGCGAGGGTGGCTCAGAAACTTTCGGGAGCACGTTAACAATCTGGTGAGACTGAAGCCGTGCCCACACTAGCAGCCAGCGAGCGCCCCTTCCAGAGACAACCCGGCACAGGGTACGAAGACAGGCCTCCTTCACTGCAGGGACGGGAGGGAGGGAGGGAGGAAGACGTTTGCCAGCAGGGCACTGGCTAAATCGATGGTGGTATGGTCTTAAGACAGAATTCTGGACCCCACCCCCGCGGTACGAGCAAACGGGCGCAGGACTGTGTATCAGGTTGGGTAACTCAGAAATGCTTAGGCGGAAAAAAAGACAAAGGACATGTAGGGTTATTACGCATACATTATCGTTACTGTTTAGAAACCTACTGGCGTGCAGCCAAAGTACCAAAACAGTCCCGCTGTGATGGAGCCTGGCCTCAGGAGAAGTACGCTCTCGGGGAAGGGAAGAGAACATACGGGGACAAACACAGGAAGTGGGCGCTGCTTAGGAAATCTGGATGTGTTACCCTCCGCACGCTTCCGGTTTCTAAAAAAGATTTCGTGGGTTTTTTTTTTTTGTTTAATGTTTATTTTTGAGAGAGAGAGAGAGAGAGAGTGAGGGGAGGGAGGGGCAGCAGAGAGGGAATCACAGAATCCAAAGCAGGCTCCAAGCTCTGAGCTGTCAGCACAGAGCCCGACACGGGGCTCGAACTCACAGACAGCAAGGTCATAACCTAAGCCGAAGTTGGACACTCAACTGACTGAGCCACCCAGTCGCCCCCAAAGATTTCATTTGTTAAAGGCCGCTTCTCTCATCATCTACAGAAGCAGACTCCACGTCAACGGGCAAAGCATTCAGCCTCTCCACCACAGACACCCCGTTACCTCCGCAACCCGGATGGCTCCGGCTCTGCACGGACACCCTGCTGACAGGCTCCAAGGCTGGCCCTGCGGCGTGCGTTCACACCTTCACCGAATCACACCGAGAAAATGAAAATGACTTACTTGAGTCCAGTCTTCACAAATTTCTGCCAATCTCCAGGATCCACTTCATTAAGGAAATCCTGTGAATAAAACAAGCCAGAGATATACAGGGGAGACTGCGCATCCATTTATTTTTATTTTTTTAAAGTTTACTTTGAGAGAGGGAGAGAGAGTGTGTGTGCAAGTGCACACATGTATGAAAGCGAGGGAGGGGCAGAGAGAGGGGGAGAGAATCCCAAGCAGGCTCCATGCTGTCAGCATGAAGCCTGACGCGGGGCTCAAACTCACAATATCATGACATCAGCTGAAACAAGAGTCAGAGTCAGACACTTACCTGACTGAGCCACTCAGACCCCTTTAATTAATTTAAAATACAAAATACAGAACTTAAATTAGAGCCATTCAGTAAATACGGAACATACCTCAGCACTCCACAAAAGCATGTGGGTGTTTCTTACATCAATTTTTAAAATTGTTTTATTGGGGCGCCTGGGTGGCTTAGTGGTTAAGCGTCCGACTTTCGCTTGGGTCATGATCTCACGGTTCGTGGGTTCGAGCCCCGCGTCGGGCTCTGTGCTGACTGCCAGCTCAGAGCCTGGAGCCTGTTTCAGAGTCTGTGACTCCATCTCTCTCTGACCCTCCCCTGCTCACGCTGTCTCTCTCTCTCCTAGAAAAAAATAAAACATTAAAAAAAAAAAATTTTTTTTTTTTAATGTTTTATTTCTGCTAGCAGCTCCGTCATTTTATTGGTGTGTCTATGACCATGAAGTGAGCAGAAAAAAATTTAACAGCCCTGCTATTTTTCCCTTTGTCCTCCTTTCAGAAGGTACTAGTTGACGGCACCACACACAGTTCCGGCCACGTACGGCTGCTTAAATGCGCTTCCCCTGCAGGGGAGACCTGGACGCGGCTGGGAGGGCCAGCGCAGTCGGCAATCACTGATGTAGGTAACACCTCCAAATACGGCGCTCTGTTAAGTCAGAGGGGCGGATGCCCTGGAGGGAAGGGAACTTTTTGGGATGATGAAAATCTCCGACAGGAATGTGGGGGGCACAATCACATGTACCTCTGTCAACGTTAAACTCTATACTTAAGAGCCTGTTATTTCACAACATGAAAATTATTCCTCAGTTCAAACAAACGAACACACAGGGCTGGTCTGGGTGGCTCAGTCAGTTAACCATCCACCCTCAGCTAAGGTCATGATCTCAAGGTTCACGAGAGCCTCATGTCGGGCTCTGTGCTGACAGCTTGGAGCCTGGAGCCTGCTTCCGATTCTGTGTCTCCCCCTCTCTCTGCCCCTCCCCAGCTCATGCTCTGTCTTTCAAAAACAAACATTAAAAAAAAATTTTTTTTTCAAAAGGGGGCTGGTGAGGCGTGCGGACAGTGGGGGAGGATGGGTGGGCCTGGGGACAGGGGGTACGGGGGACTCTGTACTAGCTGCTGATTACTGCTGTGAACCTAAAACCATTCTAAAAACATTACGTCTATTAAAGAAAGGAAAAGAAGAGAGAAAGGGAAGGCATGCCCGAAGGACACAGATTTCTGAGAGTACGGCTTGCCATCAGTCATCAAGCCGGCCTGCTGGGTGGGTAGCTGCACAAGAAGGTCCACTGTCCCCTGTGGCGGGGGAGCCCGCACCTTCCTCTGCGCTCAGCTCTCTCTGGACATCAGGGATGGCCCTCCCTCCCAGGGCTGCCATGTCTGGGCTCCTGTGAGCCTTGAATGCATAAACCTGTAACAATGAATTAAGACTGAAATACAGGTTACAAGGTCTCTCAGTACAACGTAAGCACACCGCTTGATCTGTAATCTACAACCACTTTTCACACAATGTCACTTGGGATTATTTTCTGGAGAATTATTTTTTATTTATTTATTTATTTATTTATTTTTTTAATGTTTTATTTATTTCTAGGAGAGAGAGAGAGAGACAGCATGAGCAGGGGGAGGGTCAGAGAGAGAAGGAGTCACAGACTCTGAAACAGGCTCCAGGCTCTGAGCTGGCAGTCAGCACAGAGCCCGACGCTGGCCTCGAACACACGAACGGCGAGATCATGACCTAACCGAAAATCGGACGCTTCACCGACTAAGCCACCCAGGCACCGCCATGCATCGTCTTCCAATATAACTAACATAGTGAAACAAGATGGTAACTGAAATCCTCGATCTGCTCGTGCTGGTTCACAGGGTTGTGCATACTGCCCTCCCCTCGGTGGTTGCCACGTTTGTATTCCAACCTTGCTAACATAGTGAAACAAGATGATAGGTCGACGGTGGATCTCACACAGTGTTTTCTCACAGAGTTGACTATATCACCCTTACATGATACCTCCGCGATGGGGTTTCTAGTATTCCTGCTTTAGTGAAACTAGATATTCACTGAATGCTGCAATCCGCTCAGTGCTGTTTGACAGAGTTGAGCATTTTGCACTTCTATCTTTGGTTTCTGCATCTCTCTCCTAACACTGCTTAAAGTAGGAAAACAAGATGTGAGTTAATCGATTTCTTCCCTCATGGTGTTGTGTCCCAGAGTTGTGTATACGACACCTAGGAGCCTCATACTCCCAATCATGTGTATTCAAACATCACTAACTTAGTAAAATACGATGCATGGCCTTCAATTTCTTTCATAAAGCTTATATTGTTTTTT